CTGCAGATAACTAAGGCTCATTCTAACAGTAATGAAAACACGATGAGTCCTATATTCAGGTGATTATACACTAATGGAAACATACCTATGCATATGATAGTCCATTTCTGCCTATAGATCCTCCTATATCTTTCACACTGGACCTTTGAGGAGCTGATGGGTAGAAAAAATTAAATAAAGCAGACCCCACACACATATGAAACTATAATAAACTATATCTCAGCCTCTGTTGCACCAATTATGACTATTCTTTTCTTTTTAATCACAAGTCACAAGTACCCCAACTTTATGGAAGTGCAATACTAAACCACTGGAGTACCCTTTAAATGAGAAACACCATTTTAATATTTACTACTTGACTAAAATATGTGATGGATGGATATATGTCCGTCACAGTGTTGTTCAACATATGCACATATACATTAGTCCCACTTAACAAAGATCACAGTCTATCATGGAAAACATATTTGTTTGCTGCTCTTACTGCAGGAAAAGTATTTGGTAGCTTGTCAAACTGTCCTTTAAGAGGAAATAGACAGAAAAAAGGCCAACCCAGGAGCACCAAACTGGGGGCAGAAACCATCAATTATCCCATACAGGCTCCGAATTTCTAGCAGTTCCCCTGAGCCCACCTACCGCTGCCTTGACGTGAGAGTTTGATTGACAGGTTCAGTCCTCCATCCTTCACTCTGACACACACACATACACAGAGGGTGGGTGTTCACTCTGTTAAAAGACAGCAGGATGTCATTAACTCTGTGAGAGGAGCCTTTAATGTAATTAACAGTGAGGAGACGGGGGGTGGCAAGCTCACGGTCGAGTAAATCATCCCCCCCCCCACACACACACAACAGTCATACACACAAACATGCTCCCTCCCCACTCTAAACCCCTGTTGAGAAAGTGCGTCTTTAATTAAAAATTCCCCATCCAACACACACACACTCACACACTCGCACACACACTGTACACAAACACCACTCCGGTTTCATGTGCTCCAGTCTGAACATCCAGGCTTGATTAGTATTAATCCTTATCTCCAGAATGGACAGCTTCTCAATTGTGTTTTTTTCCTCGGCTGGCTAATTTCATGAAGAGCATAATTACAGCATTTTCAATTTCGGCCCTCTACAGAGTTATGAGGCTGACAGTCTATCTCTGCACTGCAGCTGAGAGGCTTGGGGTGTGTGAGTGTGTGTGTGTGTGTGTCTGTGTGTGTGTGTGTATCCATGTATCCTAGAGTGCTTATGGACGTGTGATTGTGTTTCACTGACTAAAATGAGAGGGAGAATTAGCAGGTTATGCGGGTGACTAATACAAGAGATAATTTCATGCCAAATCCAAATTGGAAAAGCAGCTGAAATCACAACTGTGTACGCCACATAGTAGACCACAACTCTTGTGGAAATAAGGTTGATTTAATAAAAATGACAAAGTAAAAATATTAAGATAATGTGGGTGCAAATATTTTGGTGCTAGCAAACTGATGCCTGGTCCAGAATGTGTTCGGTAACAGTGTGATAAGTAATCTGATTTACTTGCTGTCTATGTGGTGTGTGTTCCAACAGTAGGAGGATGAAAGGCATGTCAGCTCTGATAAGAGATGCCAAACTGGCACAGTTTGAGTGAGTGTGAGTGTGTGTATTCGTGCCTGTGCTTTGGTCACTCTCCAGTAGGGAGATCGGAGCTGCCCTAAGGCGGTGGCCATCATCCCATCCTTCCCAGCATTCTCCTTTCATCTCCCTTCATATCTCTCTCTTCCTCTTCTTGCTATGCGAGGAGCGACTGTTTGCCACCTGATATCTCCACTCTTACTTAGCTCAGTAAACAGCCACTCTGCATATCTATGCACTTACGTGCGAGAGTGCCTTTTCAGGAAAAGCAGCTTGTGTATATGTTCCAATGCAGGCAGCTCATCAGCGATGCTCTGTCAGCTTTGATAATAACTTGGGGCCCTGGGGCGCTGTGGCCCCCGATACTTTGTCACACTCCTACAGCTCTGCAAACAGAGGCCACTGTTGCCAGTAAAGTGTCTCTGCCTTCACTGATAATGAGCTCTGTGTCCTCAAAGATAGTCTAGTGTGGACCGGTGCCAGATTCCCTTGAGGTTTCGAGTGCTGCACGACTTCTGACACCAACAGGACAGCAGCTTAGGTCCTGAGCACACATTTCCACCGACTAATAGACAGTCATTAATTTAGACTTGATTAAATGAAAATGTAATGATGCCCAAGGGGAAAGTTAGTAATCACAGTGGCAGAATAAGGTAGAGGAAAGAATGAGACAAATAGAGGGTGTTTAAAAAGTGAAGTAAGTTTGTATCAAAGTTTTACTGGTTAAGTATATACTGATCAAACATACTACACTCAGACATACTACATGGAGTACTGAATCATAAAAACTATTCATTATGCCAAATAACCAAACACTAATGATAACCCAGCAAATAGACTAATAAAAAAATAGAACTGCAACATCCATATCCATTAGTTTGCATCCATTAGTTTTAAATGGCCCCCCTTCAACAAGACATAGTTCCTCCTGACCATAAATCTACCTCTTAAAAGCCTAATGTGACACGGAGACACATATTTAGCTAACAGTTTAGCGCCGTAATTAGCGTTTGTGAGCTCTCTCTGCCTCTGCCAAGTGCCAGCCGCCCAACATCTGTTCCTCCGCTGCCGCCGGGGCCAGCGCTTCCACCCTCGTCCCTCCCTCCTCCACCACCAGCAGTCTTTGCCTCTCCGCGGGTGGCAGAACACTTATCAGGTCTGGAGTGAAGTGATAGGCAGACGAACACAAAAGTAAAAATGAAGCGACAGGCCTGTTTCCCCCTTCCCCTGAGCTGTTTGAGTGTGTGTTTGAGACTTAAAAGAGGGAGGTCCTCATCCTGCGGTCACCTTGACCCGTCTATCCCCCCTGCTCCCCCACCAGCTACAATTAAATCACGAGGAACATGTCGGGCCACCCAGCCTCGACTGTGGGCGTGCGCCATCAGCATATTCTCAGCATATTCACCCTGATGGGAAGCTTCTGCACTTGCCTGTGTATATTGGATTTATTTCTCGCTCCAGCGGTGATGGATTTCCCATTTGCCTGTTTTGTACGGTGGTGCACCATTGAGAGAAGCAGCACATCAAGACTGTTGCATCTTCAGTCACTCCCCGTCGCACACCGTTTGCTCAGTGCCATTTTAGGATTTTGCTCTCCCCGGCAAGCCATGCTTCTCCATATTGTAGGGGCCCATTTAACTCTGATAAGTCATTGTTCAGGCAATACAGAGGGGGAAGTTATAACAGCATGCAGAGAGTGTCGACACCCCCCTTCCATTTCTCTCATTTTCTGTCCTCCTTTTCCCGTTTTCTGCTCTTTCTTTTTTAATTTTGCCTATAGCTCCTCTGTGGGCGAAATTGCCATTTCACAGCCCCTGCCCCAACAGGGAGGGTGGGGGGGGTAAAGTGGAGGGGGATTATGACAGAAACAGGATGAAAGGGGAGAGAAAGGGGAAGGTGGAAGAAAATAAAGTTGCTCTTATCAGAACTTGCCAGGAGCAATGCGCACACAAAGCTGTTTGGGAATCCAATTTAGTCTTTGCTGTTAGTTTAAGTGATATCAGTGCAATTAGCTGTCACAGGTCAGAGTGTGAGCCGGCCGCGTTAAGTGATTTCCTGAAATCCCACTAGTGGAAGCGTGAGGGGACGACAAGTCTCAACAAAAAAGGAAAAAAAAAGAGAAAAGAAAAGAAAAAAAGAGAAAAGAAAAGAAAAAAACTTCCCTCGCCAACTCCACAAATTGACCGCTTCTTTATACAGCCTGCTAATAAATGTCAACCGCCTCTTGGCTCTTTTGTTTTGCTCTTGTCAGTTGCTCACTCCGAATTTAAATGGATTTTCTTCCTGTATATCTCTCCAAAAGGGTGACTTTGAGGCGTTGTAGTTTTATTTGCGCCTCATGTAACTCAATTGCGCTGTATGTTGTTTTTTGGTGAGCTACATGTTGGGTGTGGAGGGAGTGGGGGCAAACAGCAGGAATGTCCTTGGTGTTTTTCATAAGAGCAATTACACAGGAGGTGTGTTACGGGAATATGATCCATTTATAAACCTCCACTGTGAGTTCCTGCTGCTCCTGTCTATATGATGGTTTGTTTTCAACATTACATACGTTGGTAAGTCTAAAGTAGGAGTAGAAATTACTGAAGGTGACTGAACAGGAGGAGCCTATTTATGCCAGCCCAGCTCTCCTGTAGCACATATACTCTTCTGAACACACTTCTGCAGTTTCCCCTTGACTATAGCAATATTCCAGAAGTTACTAGTTTAACTTCCAGGACTGCCTGGGAACACTGGTACAAGAGAACATGCCTTTCTTTTTTTGGAGTTCACATTTGCTGTTTCTTTTGTATGCTTGTATGCTTTTATATTACAGGGTACCAAGCGCATTTTGTCTGATGCCTCTCTCAGAGTGCAGACTCAGCGAGGGGCACAGTCCGACTTGTATTAAACAGACACATAGTGCCAGGTGCACAACTCAAGTCATAGAAATGGAACCCACAGAGAAGATTTGAAGGAAATCATGCTGCATTACATTGACGTTGGGATAGAGGCATCTAAAATACCTCCTCCCACTTTGCAACTGTGTTACGTTCACCTGACACAACATATCTGTTTAAAAGAGGTGATAATCGCTGCAGAGTGAAGAAGTCAGCAGCCAAAATGTCTGCTTGTTCCTCCTAAAAGAATAAGGATAAAGCAGCTTTTTGAGTTAAGGGTGAGGGTGGTATTTCTTTGCTATATTCCCTCAACAAGTTACCCATCAGAAAGACATACAGTCTAAGAAATATCCATAAAAGTTCCCTTAAGAAACACACACACACACACACACACACACACACACACACACACATCATTCATTTTCCACCTGACTGACTGCGATTAACACTGACCTCACCCCTCCTCTCCTCCCTCCCTCTCCTCCCTCCCTCCCTTCTTCCTGGTCTCTAGGGGAAATCTGTGCGTTCAACATCCACGGGCTGGAGGCTCCATTCGAGGCAGTGGTGCTGAACGGTACGTCTGGTGAGGGCCAGTTGAGGGCCCGCGGCCTGGTCGACTGCGAGCTGCAGAAGGAATACACCTTCATCATTCAGGCTCACGACTGCGGCTCTGGCCCCGGGGGCACGGAGGGCAAAAAGTCCCACAAGTGAGTAAGACAGAAAGCAACAACAACAACAACAACAACAACAACCCTGTACATATGTATGCACAATCCACACAACCTTTTCTAAACAAAGAAAGATTCTGTGTGACTTTATGCTTGGACCTGGCTTGCTTCTACACTAAAAAGGAAATACCACCAAGGGAACAGAAAATTAAATAAACAAGATTTTTCATAATTCATATCAAAGTGCTTGGGCTAAATTATGTAAAACTACAAGCATTTATTGTATAATTCATCACTCATTTAGACAATGGCTGAAGTCCAATCAAATTATCAGCTATGCCAGAAAACAATGGTGGTTTAGAAAGTATGATAGTTTATACTACTGCGAGAATGACAAGTAACTGGCTCTGTATGACTGTATATCTATGGACATTCCTGACCAGAAAATGTGCATGTGTGTGGGTGCAAATGAAAGAAGGGGCAACTCAGGATAGAGAGATCGCTGGCTGGTACTGTGGGTGTTTGGGGCTTGTCTCAAGTCAGCATTAAAAGCTAGTTCAAACAGCCTCAACAAGCTATGTTTTATTCTCAATAAGTTCTATGGATGGTCAAATGTAAAACAATCTGGAGGTAGTCTTATTAGTTCTTAGCAAAAGGGGCAAGTAGACAATCAAGTGCAGGTTCTTTAGATGAGCAGCTTTGGCATTAACCTGATGTTTAAACCGAATCATCTGGGAAGTCGTCATTGGAAACTGTTTGGAAAGGGGAAGGCACTTTCAAAAAATACTGAGCCAGTGATTGGATGAACAATTTGTCTATCACATCTATGATGCGTGAATCAACCAATCAGATCAACGAACCATATAACAGTCACTCTTACCAAAAGCCAGTCTGGAGAAGAGGAAAAACATATTTTCCACTGAGAAAAAGCCTTCAGTGCCTTTCTTTGCCCTCCTTTAATGAAGAAATACTCTCCAGTTCTGATATAACTGATGCTAGAAGCATCTACGCTAACCTCTTTAGCAGCCGCCAATGAGTCACCTCTCCCACACATTGTTACACACCTAGCGTTAAACCATGACCATAGCTCACATCTAGTTTTCATTAGTTTCTCAAAGGATGCCGATTGGTCAGAACCACGGTGGTTCAGATAAGCTAATAGCCTGCCAAATTGGATTCCCATGTGATTGCATCCAGCTGCCTCGCAAGGTTACTGTGGCAAAGATGCCATTCAAATTCTTATTTGTATACAAAGAGCTTGAAAGAAAGCTCTTGAAGCCTTGCCTCAAAGTTACATATTAGTCAAATAACACTAATAATGCCTTCAACTCTTTCTGCTCCTGCCATCCACTACAGCTTGATCCCAGATTGCTCCGAGAACCACCCATACCAGCACAGATACAGCACAACACCCACCTCCACAAGCACCAGTAGACTAGTTTAAAGAGGTCTTATACTGAAAAAAAATAAATATTTGTCACACTTGTTAGCTCTCTTGTAAGTAGCTTCCGTCTGAAAAAGGACAACTACCTCACCTCAGCCAACAATGGAACCAAACATAGAAATCTATCACCTTGTCTAGCGTTTGGATGCTCAGACACACACACATACATTGTATGTTGTTTGTGTACAAGGAAAAATCGGTGATGGATTTGTGCAACTATTTCCATGCTGTTTGTCATGTTTTAAATCCCTCTTAAGTACCCAGACATTCTGTTATGTCACACCATTACTTTCTATCAACATAACTCACTGCCCCCGCTGTGATGCAGACCCAGTTTGGTTGGCACAGACGGGCCAACGCTGGAGGGGAAGCGAATTTGGGGACACTTTAAATGGCCCGTCCTTTTGCTGGCAGTTCTCAAAGGATGAGGCTGGCCTTTTGCTGCATCTCTCCCTCGCTCACTCGCCCCGATTCAGAGAGAAGCTCACAGGGAAGGAGAAGAATCTCTGCCTAGGGCTGCGCTCAAATTACACATGACACGTCAACAGCAGAGAAGGGAAGCAGTCAGGAAAATTAGCAGCTAAAGAGGACAGGGGAGAGGATCAGGAGTGACACGGGATGAGTTTAAACTTCACTCTATCCTCTATTCTTCCCTGCTCTGCTTACCACTGGCTGCCCTACTTCTCACTCCTGTATTTCTCTTTTTTTCCCGACTGGCTGCAGCTCAGATAGTGCCTGCTGTCTGACTCTATCAGTCCTTCTGTCTCTGTTACCAACACAGTGTTTGAATATTTCGTCAGACTGCCTCTGCGCTCACAAATGGACAAACATTGATTATATGAATCATCCTGCAAAGTGTCTTTTTCATCCACTCTTGGGGACTTTGTCAGAATCCACAGCAACAGACAGCTGACATTAATGACTGCCTTTTTCTGAGTCAGAGCACCAATATAACAGCGTACAGATTTGCCACTTCTGAATCACATTGCTCCTCGCTGCCCTCTGAGATATTTTACTTGGCCGCCTGTGGAAGCTTTAGTCACTTGTCAGCAAAGTGCAAAGCCCGAATGAATTCACCTTAAACTCCTTGAGACTGTTTCTGCTCAGGTCAGCTTTAAATGAAGCACAAATTAATCTACAATACTGTAAGGCTGACCTCTGCCAAATGAACAATTTGTACTGAGCTGTGAAGTGTTCTAAGCCTTTGACTTAAAGAGCCATGAATGTGATAAATGTTTTGTGTCTTGCCATTGGTTTTAGCACAATAGTGACATTGATTAAAACATTTAATTGGTGTCAAATACTGTTGGTCTTCTGAGAAGAGTCATCTGGTTGGCACAAAGTAAGTTATCACAACCCGGCTGAAATAAAATTTCATTAACAAAGAAAAATTGACAGCTGATGAAATTCAGATTTTTTTGTGAATAAAATTTGAATAAAAGCCAAAGACGCACAGTGGGTCAGTCAGTACAAACTCATGCTGTTCGTTCAAACTCACAGAACTTCATTTTAAATTCTGGGGAGATCGATACCAAATCTGTCATGCTGTATTTTAGAGAAATAAAAGGAAGCTGCAGACATGATACACAACATACATATGATACTGTCAGAGTTGAATAAATTGATTTTAACAAACTCAGAGCTGCTCGGCTGTAGACTCTTAGTCTTAACAATTAGGTGACTTTTGCCCATTTTTAAAATATTATAAATAAACACGTATATATTTCTATATTTATTTAAAGGTTTTAGATTTGATTATTGTTTTAGGGCAGTGTGGTTTCCAACTTGTGAATCAGGATACCCACAATAACATTATCTTTAGCTTTTTTGGTGAAATACAGTATAGTTGTACCTCTTTATATCTCTAAAAAATATTCTGATGAAACAACCTTTGTGGGGAAATTACTTTTTGTTGAACTGCTCAAGGGGCCACAAGTATAAATTGCTTTTTATAAGGGGTCACAAGCAAAAAAAAGTTAGGAACCACTATTTTAGCGTACCAAACAGATCATAATATTTTCCTTTGTTCCTCTGAAAATCTGAGTAGAAGTCGCATATGGCCACGTGAGCACTGAGCCTTTGGGGTGTCTGCACTTGAAAAACAACCATATAATCTCACTAATTATCATCTGAAGACTAGAAGTTTCTGTGTACTGTTTGTACTTTGCCATTCCCCACACACCTTGCTATGTGCAACTTTCTTCTGTTGCTATGGAGTAATTAGGCATCAGGGACATCTCACTGCCTTACAAAGCATGTCATAATTTATAATCCTTCCCAGGGCTCACACCTAACCACGACACATGTATTTAACACCGGCCCAGGGGTTAAGTGCCTGGAGGTTGTCGGGGGGAGTAATGCATTCACAGTAGGGTTTAGGTGCCCCTGAGGTTATATGTGTGTTTAGGAGAGAATGTGGATGCAATTTAGACACGCAGGTGTTTTCTCATGTCCATGCAGCCACATATTCACACACATGCTCGGTGCTTGGCAGCACGGTAGTTATTAAAGTCATCATTAGTGAATCTTAGAGGCCTGTATGTCCTAACCTCACTGCAGTTTGGAAAGGCTAATTATCTCACAGAACAGCTAGCTGAAGGACAGCCATGCACACACACACACACACACACACACACACACACACACACACACACACACACACTCAAACACACTCAGAAATCCCAAATGCTGAGTCAAATTCACACTGATATACCTAAATTTACATATAAATAAGACAAATACCGTAGCTGGGGATAGATAGGCTTATTTTGCATCTCATAACCAACTTGCTCACAAACATGCAAACAAACACACTCATACATACACAGACAACCGCCAAAAGACATGCTCTGCATTAACAACAAAAAAAAAAGTCACTTTCTTATGAGTGAAGAAGTGGGCCAAGAGCTGTGCCTTGTTAGCATAAGCTGTCATGATAAATTCCTGCAGTGAGAAGACCAGGGGACTCCACGCAGATAGTGCAGCTCTGTCAATGTGTCTGTGCTTTATTCTACCAAGAATCTTAACTTCACGCTTGTCACACTTGATGCTAATATGAGTGAAACCTCATTCTGTCAAAACCTGTTAGCTGACGTGATTATTATTCTTGGCAAGAAAAAAAAAGTGTAGGAATATGTTGTTTATCTTCAGCTAACATAATGTAATAGGAGAGTATAGTCTCTGTGTTTCAATTATGAATATGCACCGCCAGGAACTGCACCATCTGTGCTTGTCTGCTTCAGTTACCAGATGAAGAAAGTGACACCCGTTCCCATCCTAGTTTCCAACCATGATTGGGCGTCGACGCATGTCAGTGGATGCCTGGAAGTCTGTCAGCAGGGTGGAGCAAATGGACATTCAATCATTGAATTGCACACAAATGCTTTTAAAGAAGAACTAGTGTTTTCTCTGTCCGGTTAACTGTATCTGAGAGTACAGCTCTAACTCCTCTGTATCACTTCCTCTATATTTCTCTGTGCTGTGGCATGATAGTCTGAGCCGTCTATCACTGATTTCATCCACACTATCTGTGGATCTGTGGACTGAACTGGATTACCACACATTTTAATCACCTATTGAGATTACACAAACCCCA